TTTGACTCCCATCACCCTTTGGAGCACAAGTTAGGAGTCATCAGGACACTGTATCACAGAGCAGACAGCATCCCCACTAGCTCGGGAGCCAGGCAGAAGGAGAAATCCTACACAAAACAGGCTCTAGAGCAATGTGGATATCCTAACTGGGCCTTCCTGAAAGCAGAGAAGAAACCCAAACAGTCCCCCGGCACAAACAGAGTAATGTTGTGTATGCTGTTCAGTGTCAGGAGGGCTGTGATCAGTCTTACATCGGGGAAACAAAACAGCCACTGGCCAAAAGGATGGCCCAGCACAGAAGATCAACATCTCCAGGCCAGCGGTCACTCTTTCAAGGATGAAGATGTTCACATGCTGGACAGAGAGGAACGATGGTTTGAGAGAGGAGTAAAGGAGGCCATCTTTGTGAAAATAAATTGTCCATCATTAAACAGGGGTGGAGGCCTCCGGGTTCAACTGTCCCCCTCTTACAATGCTGTGATTGCTAGTATCACTCAACCCTCTGTGAGTAGTAAACAGCCATCAGTGTGCTAATGACCCATTGTTAGGCTGATGGTCCTTCTTGAGCATGTGATCAGCTGGTTTTGGTTGTCAGCAGCAAACTGGTTGATCCACTCTGAGAAGGTGCTATTTAAGAGACTGAGCTGAAAACAGCACCTCAGACTGTGAGGAAGTCTCTTGGATGAGAGACGAAACATTTCTAGATTATTTTGCTTTGTTTTGTTTTTTGTTTTTTTTTGAATGTCCAGAGGACCAGATTGAACTTTTTTGGATATTAAATTGGTAGGAGTTTCACTGTGCAGAAGAACAATGGTAGGTTTGTTGTTGTTGTTGTTTTTGCTTCTCTGAAGCAACACAGAGTGATGAATCCTTGGCCAGTGAAGGGAGCAGTTGTATCCACAACCAGGCACAAAGGCAGAGCCAGTGGTGGCCAATGGGGACTTTGACCACCATAGATTAATCTTTGGTCCCCCAAAGGGCCACCCCAATCATTTGAGAATACTATACTTTTAAGCAGTATAAAAACTAACCTAACACTAAACATGGGGAATTTCAAGTTATTGTGCTCGCAACAATATCCGTTTTTCTTTGTAAATCAGTCACAAAAGGAGAGTACCTGAACATGGCAATGAGTAGATTGACCAGTACAATGTTGGTGAACAGCAAGTAGATGACCAGGAGAAGGACGACAAGCCAGTTGGCATAGATGCTCACACAGGGTTCTGCTCCTGCCTCAATTTCTGTAGTATTGGTAGTGCACGCCATTTCTCTTAATTTATCAGCTAGAGGAAAAACAAATAAACAGAAGTACACATGTGACCTGATTTAAAGAGTAGCTTTCTTGTTGCATAAAACTCTACTTCACATGTACAGCAATGCTCAATGTCTAAAGTGCCTTTAGTAGTCTCTCTTGGGAAAATTTTACAAAGTACTTTGAATAAAAATGTCTGATGGACAGAAGACACATTCAATGTAAAATTCACATAAATACATTAAAAATGAGCTCACATACTACAACACCCACACATGCAACATTACCTAAATGATTTTCTGTCTCTATGTTCTACTCAGCTGAAACTTACAGGACAGGTCAGACTCAGGGAAACACAAGGAACAGGACAAGGTCAAACAAGTGTCAACACGTGTGGAGCGTCACAGGTGTGGGGAGACAGGGAGTGATAGACAGGGTGAGCAGGACAAAAACACAACAACAGGGTACCATCCCCACAGTACCTCCCCCCTAAAAACGTCCCCTGATGTCTAAAAAAACCACCACCAAAAACTTGGGTGGGAGGAGCGGGGAACCATGAGGATGGAGGGCACCAAGGAAAACACAAGGACAGACCAAAAAACTGGCAGGATGAAACCTGGGATCTACATTAAACGCACATAAGGAACATAAAAACGTCCAGACGGTCAGTCGACCGTCCATCAGGACAGAGTTCAAGGTGGGTGGACGGGAGGCCGTCCAGCACAGGACCGTAGTTTAGGGGAATGGCCTGGCAACTGTCCATGGTTGGGACAGAATTCAGATGGGCGGCCAGGCCATCTGTGCGTCCATCACATGGCAGCAGGTCCTGTGGGCAGCGGATGGTGATGGACATGCAGAGGGACCATGACCACCCAGGGCAGGGAAAAAGTTCAGGTGGGACCAGGGCAGCTGCAGTTGTTGTAAGAACCGGTGCAGCTGAAGAAGTCGTGGGAACCAAGGCTGGAGACTTGGGCGCTTCAGGTGCTGCAGCAGGGGACGTAACCATCCTAGGTGTTGCAGCTGGAGGTGTAGTCACTTAAGGTGATGCAGCTGTCAGGTCAGGAGCTGGGTCTATGGATGCTGTGCAACACTCAGGGACTGGTGTTGAACCCTCAAGTTGCGTGGAACCCTCGGGACGAGGCATGGAACCCTCAAAATGAGGGATGAGATTTTTTTTTTTTTTTAACATGAGGGCATGAGTAACTCCAGGGATGACCCTGAGCTGAACATCTGTTAACTTGGCTTCCAGAAAACCTCCCTGATTTTTACCAAACCTTGCTGACAGAATAATAATTTCTATTCTCAGGACTATTAAGTACATCACAAAATCACCTACAATAAAAAAAGAAACAAACAAAACAACAACAACAACAAAAAAACAGTAGTCCCTCGCTATTTCAAGGTTTATTTTTTGTGAACTCGCCCTATTGTGGTTTTTCAAAATAAGATTGGACATGACACAATTGGTTGAATGATGAATGAGCCACACGAGCAGCATGACATTTTTATTTAAAATGAATTATTTAAAATTATTTAGCACCTGCTGCACCTTTGTGCAGCCCACGCTGCAGAAGAAACGTCCTCCTGCAGCTTCTCCTCCCTGCTCCTTCTCTGTTCTACTGCAGAGAAGTGAATGTGGCTGAGAGGAGGCAAAGAGCTCCAGAGAGGGAAAATGATTCTCTCCAGGCAGAAAGAATCATGACATTCTGTGCTCTTTTAGAGCTTTTAGAGTTTAGAAACATTGTTTAGAACATTGCAAGAATGTGGGAAGGGTTTAAAATGCCTATATATATATATGTAAATATATAAATACTAAAATAAACTACTACTTGTACTACTATTCCTACT